ACCCCCGCAGGAGGAGGACCGCCAGTTCGAGGCCACTCCGCAGCAGCAGCTCACACAGCTGCAGCTGCTGAGACAGGCCATCTCTGGGGAGGTGGCCGGCGCTGCGGGCGGCGAGCGGCCGGGGCCGGGGGTGGGAGGAGCGGCGCCGGGCCCGGGGCCGGGGGTCAGCAGCTTTGGCCCCCTGTCGCGGTGGGGCGGTGGGCCGCCCTCGCCTCTGCAGTCGCAAGGTGAAGTGCGGCGATTGGGGGGCATGTACGGCAGTATGTATATGCGCGTGTGTGTGGAGGAGGTGGGGACCCGACACCCACGCATCCAAGAACACCTGATGTACGGGAGCACGTATGCATTCCGTACTACAGCCCCCGTACAACGCGCTACTCCCAATAAACCGCCTGCTTGCCGTCGCGCACAACAGCCCTCGGCCGCTTCCCTTGAGTCGCCAAACGCTGCCAGTTTTTTTTGCGGTACATATTGCCACTGCTGCCGCTGACGTCGCCGCTGTCCCCGCCAGGGAACGTTATCACTCCTCGGGGCGACGGCAGCCCGGCGGCGAATTCTGCCGTATGGCTGTCGCCGCCGGCTGGCGGCGCCGCCTCCTCCCTCAACGATATGCCTCCGCCAGGTGGGACCAGCCATGCACGGATCTAGCCGTACGAATCTAGCCGTACGGATCTAGCCGTACGAATCTAGCCGTACGGATCTAGCCGTACGGAACTAGCTGTATGGAACTAGCCCCAGAGCGAGCCGTGTATTGGGGGGTATTCTGGGCTGCAATGGCAGGGGCGGTTAGTTGGCTGGTTAGTTGGGCTTTTGTGATGATGGACCATTTTGATCAATGATGAGGAAGCGCGGCACTCTGTTGTGTTTAGTCGTGTTACAAACGTCCTCGCTCCGCACTTCTTCCTCGTCGTTACCGCCGCCTCCAGGGGGCTATCGTCAGCACACCCGATCCGAGTCGCTCTACTCGGTTAGCATCGCAGGCGGGCCCACGGCCGCTAGCGCCGCCGCCGCGGCGGCAGCGGCGCCGGCGGCGCCCGCCGGCGGCGGCGTCACCGACCCATGGGACACCACGACGCCGCAGCCCGCGGGCAGCGGCGCCGCAAGATCCACTGCATCCTCGAAAATTGCAGCGCCTGGTGGCTGCCGTACACAGATGTCCTCTTGGGCGGCGGATCCGGAGCTGTTGTCCGTGGCGCCGTCGCAGGCTGACGGACGAGGCGGCGGCGGCGGCGCCGCCGCCGCCCTGCAGCGGAAGTCCCATCAGCACCATCCGCACCACCACCATTCGTCTTCGGCGGACGGCGCGACGGGATCATTCTTCGCCAAGCTGGACGTGTTTGCGAGCAAGGTAGTCGGCGAGCTGTGCGACTCTAGGGGGACCCTAAGCCGCCGTTTGGGAGTGTGTCAAATGAAGTGCAATGCAATGGTGTGGTGTGTGGTATGTGGTATGGAGTGGTGGTGTGGTGTGTGGTACGGTTATGAATGTCTGATAACCTTTATTTGATCAACGCTTGTTATAGCAGTTTTTGATACTGTATTTGAATATAGTGGATGCCTGGGGTGTCTTTTGCACCTCCATGTGCACGTGTGTGGAAACCCACCATGTTTGTTGTTTGGTCTCTCACCCCGGCCTGCTTGCGGGTATTCGGCCTCGCTCCCTCTCGTCAGCGCTGTGGGAACTCCGGAGCTCCGGATTACCCCGCGGCCCCAAAGGCAGCTCATTCATTCCTTGTTTCCTGTTGAATATGATGTCCCCTTCCCATCGCCGCCCTGCACGTACGCACACCTCATAGTGTGCCTCGTCCTTCACCTCCTCTCCTCTCCCCCTTCACGCACGCACCCGGCCCCCGCCAACCACGTCACGTCGCCCTCTCACACACACACATACATACATACACACATGGCCTGCAGGTTTCCTCGGTTCTGGAGCCGCTCAAACCGCAGCGACCCACCCGCCCGTCCGGGCCGGGGGAACTGCCGCGTCCGCGGGTGGTGGAGGAGCAGGTGACAGGGTTGTCGGGGTTTGTGTATTGCTGCGGGGTTAGGACACGTGTCGTGCGTAGAGCAGCTTGTGTGGGTTGTGTGAGAGGGTGAAAGGGGCTGTGGCACCGGCGCTCAACCCGTACGTCCACCCCCCCAAGTCGCCCTTACGGCTGGTATGAAATGTACCACATTCCCAGCACCTCCGACAGCCCACCCCGTGATCCCACACACGGCTGGAAGGGGAAGGACGGAGGCCGCTCTCTTCTCCTCGTGCCGTTCCCCCTCCGCGCACCGAGTGCCATTGACCGTGTGAAAAATTGTGATCCCTGTTGCTCGTATCGACCGACCGTGTATGCATATTGCCGTATGTGAATATGTGTGTACGACCAAGCTTTCCAGTTGTTTCTGTTATTGTTGTTCGATCGGACCGTGTGGTGCTGTGTGGCGCTGAGCTCGCCTTGGTGGCATTCCTTCCGGCCTTTCCTGCATGCCCTTCATCGCAATGTGTGCATGTGCGTGTGTGTCTGTGTGAGTGTGTGTGTGTGTGTGTATTTGGGGGGAAGGGTAACACGCGGGCAGGGGCGGCCCTCCAGGGGCAACAGCGTTACTGCTCCTACCTCCTACCTACCACTGCTTCCGGCGGTCGGATTGGACCCACCACTACTGCAACACGCGCCATTCATTCATAAGTACATGATTTTCCTAACTTGGTATTTTGAACAAAGGAAAACGCATCCCGATTTGTGTGTGTCTGTGTGTCGGTCTGTCTGTGTGCTCTTCCTCGCGGCGGTGTCACCCCGCCCCTGCAGGCGGCAAATACGTCCCTAGCCTCCGCCGCCACCTCCTCCCCCTCAAGATCCCACCTGCAGTCAGGTTCACCACGAACAGCACCCCCCTAACCGCCTCACCCCCCTCACCCCCCTCACCACCACCGCCAGCCTACGACGACAGCGGACCAGTACATCCAAGACACGGACGCGGCTGCGGCGGCCGCGGGCGAGCTGCTGCTGCCCGCTGAGATTGCCTGGCTGCGCGACTGGCGTGCGCGTCTGGCCCTGAGCTCTCCCGGCTACTGCGGTGACCTGGCGCTACAGCTAGCCCTGGCAGCCGCGGTAAGGGGGGGAGATGTGCCTACTATGTCGGTTGATTGCGTGCGTGTGTGTGTGTGTGTGTGTTTGGGGGAGAGTCTCCCCCCCCTCCGCGTCCCTCGATGGAATTCTGTTCGGTGCACTTGTGCTACTGCCGCCCAGCCAGGTGGCCAGGTAGCTGCCGGCCCTGGCTCACGCCCAGGTGCCCATCGTCATGCGGCCGGTTTGGCGACAGGTATATGGGTTTAGCTTCCGGTCTCTGACGCATCCCCCGCGTACCACGTGATTAGCCTTCTTCTGTCTTTCATCTTCTGTTTTCGGGCGATCATCGCATCGCTCAACGGAAATGTATGTACGTATGTACGTACGTATGTATGTGCCCCTGCCCCTGTGCTCGTCATAACCTGGTGATGACTTGCCGTACCGCCTTTCCAGACTTGCTACAGCCGTGCCGGCCGGCAGCGTGCTGCTGCGCAGCTGTACGGCGATGTGGGTGCCGTACTGTTGGGCCGCGGTCAGGCGGAGGTAGTGGCGGAGTTGATGGAGCACGTGGTGTCGCTGGCGCAAGCGGAGGGATGGTGGGTGCAATAAAAGATGTAGTTCATGTCGTCGGGGACCCCCCGGCTGGGAGCTCCTCCGGCTTGCGGCCCGGCATCCCTTCCTCCCCTCCTTTCCCTTCCTTTCCGCTCCGGACGGCTTGTTCCCAGAGGCAAGGGGGCAGACAAAGCGGAATCCAAACAAGGAGGGGACGCGAAATGAACCTCCCCAATAAGGGGAGTCAGCCGGGAGCAGAAGTCAGGCCTTAACCTTTGCCAGCCGCCTGCCATGTATGTATGTATGTATGTATGTGTATGTACGTAGGTATGCAATGCTGGGCCGCGCGCTACCCGTCCTTATGGCAGCGCAGCAGGCGATTGGCCACGTCATGCTGCCGTACACCTGCATCAAGTAAGTGCCGTATGTATGCAGTACACCACCGCATACATTCCATTATCTACGCATTCCGTGACAAATTCGTTGATAACGCGTCTTACGACGTAGGAGCTTTGTCGCCGTGTGCTGAAAAGGCCGCGCGGTTGTTTTGTTTGTACCTTTCAGTAAGAGCCCGAACAAGGAAGGAATAATTGACCTCTTGGGGCGCGGTGGGGTGGCGTGGGGTGCGGGTTTTTTTCCCCCTGCAGGTATCTGTCGCTGCCGCCACTCGCTTGTCGCGCGGACAGTCGTCGCCGAGTGCTGGAACACGTCCTGTCCAGTGCCGGGTGCCCCCTCTCTCCAGACGGCGGCGGCAGGCTGCGGCGGCCGCCGCTGCCGTCGGCGGTGCTGCAGCTCAGCACGGGCCAGGCCGTACAGGTACGGCAGGAAAAGACGTCGCGCTGGGGTTTGCTATGAAGCCGTTAAGTACTTAGGGTTATACTTAAGGTTTTTATACTTAGGGTTTTACGTGTGTCTTATGTGTGTGTGTGTGTGTGTGTACAAGTTACATGCCGGGACCCCGCTACCCCCCCCCCAAAAACACTGCTGTCATTGGTGCTCACGTGATCGGTTTCCCGTGGTGCCTAGTGCACAGCTGGGCGCTGGACTTGACAGCCCCCTCACCTACAGCTCCCACCCACAGCTCCCCCACTCTTGATGGCCTCCCTCCCCGGGGCGACGACCGGAACATTTAGGGGAGCCGACGTGGGGTGTCCCGTCTCGGGTGTGGGTGTCGAGTGTGTGTGTGTGTGGAGGAACAGCGAGGAGGTAGAGAGAGGCCCTCGCACTCGCCGATGTGTCTGCAATCAATCATCTGCAGTATCTGTATGTTCCCGCCTGGATCGGTGTATTTGCAAAACCCGGATAAAGGTGCCGGCGACGTGGTTTGATGGGCTGGGCTGTGCTGGGCTGTGTTGTTTGTTATGATGTGATGTCTGCGTGTGCGGCGGTGCTGGTGGGCTGCAGGCGGCGCTGCTTCCCGGATTGACCAGCAGGTTCTACGGCAGCCGCTGCCCCGCCGGCCAGCCCTACCTGGTGGCCCCCGCGCGGCCAGTGGCGCGGCCGCTGCGGCGGCGACACAGCGCCGCCGCCACGGCAGCGGATGGGGAGAAGCGTTACAGCGACAGGCGGCGGCAACGCCGCCGGGGGAAGCGGGATCATTCCTGTGGCGGCGGTGGTGCCGCGCAGTACTTGCGCGTCGGCGACATGTGCTCCCTTGAGTTGCAAGTGTACAGCAATCTGCCGACTGCCGTACCGTTGTTGGACGTGCACTTGGTACTAGGGACCCTACAGCCCACACAGCCGCCGCCAGCACCGCCGCCGCCACCACTACCCCAACCGCAAGGCGCCCACAACAGCCAACGCCACGGTTTTCAGCAGCAGCAGCAGCAGCAGCAGAGCCAGACTCACAACTTGCAACAAGCAGCAGCGCAGCAGCAACCCCCCGAGCCGGCATGGGGCCGTAGCTACAGTGCCACACGCTCGCAGGCGCCGCATCCTTTCCCACGCGCCGGCACCCTCTCGCCCTTCGGCAATGTGCAACCCGCTACCTCCAACGCCATCGCCGCACGCAACATGTACGGCGGAGAGCTCCCCCCCGGGGCACCTGGACCTGGAGGTTTCGGAGCCGCACCTGCCTGGAGATCACATTCCGGCATGATCCTTGGCGGCGGAGGCGGCGGTTCTACGGTCAGTCTGGCGGCGGCGGCCCACCCGGCGGCTGCCCCGCAACCGCAGCAACGGCCAACGGCCGCAACTGATTTGCTTGGGACATATCAACCAGCCCTCAGCTTAGACGCCTGGGCGGCAGCGCCATCGTACGGCGCCGCGCCGTCGTACTACACGCAGCATCCGCAGCATGTGCACCCCCAACCTCAGCAAACAGCGGGCAGCGGCGGCAACACTCGGTTATCGGCATCGGGAGTGTCGTACACCGCCGCCTCCGCCATTGCCCAATCATGGGGTTCCGCCGCGTCATTGCAGCAGCAGCAGCCACTGCCGGTAATACCCAACTCGCCCACAATGGCGCCTAGCGGCGGTGGCGGCGGCGGCGGCGGCGGTTACTCAAGGTTTACCAACGCGCCTCGCGGCGGTGGCGGTGGCGGTGGCGGTGGCGGCGTTGAGCGATATATACCTAGCAATACAAGCAGTAGCCTGTCGTTGGGGCCGATGACTCACACAGGTGGCGGCGCCGGCACCGTCACCGGCGGCGGCGGCAGTTACAGCAATGTTTCGGAGGCGACGGGGCTGGTACGGCGGGCTCCGTCCTGGGCGGGTAAGAACATCCCGCCACTGCTGACAGCGCGATCGGAGGGCAGGGAGGCGCGGGGCGGTGGTTGGCGGGTACGGCTCCGAGGACGGATTCGGTAGAACCCCAGCGGGGGGAGGTCCAGGAGAACCCCCTCAGTAGGCTCCTTTCCCTCCCTCCCTGGCCCTGGCAGCAGCTTCAATCGTGTGTGGTTCGTCTTTCCCTCCCTCCCCTCCTCCCTCCCTCCCTCCCTCCCTTCCTAGGGAGGACTAGGATAGTCGGGTCGGTCGGGTCGGTCGCGCGTTTTTTGGGGGTTTGGGAGGAGCACTTGCATACCGACAGCTTTTCATTACCAGCAAATCAGCTACTTCTCCAGGCCAGCAGCAACCTTTGTTCCAGCTTTACGACACCAGTGCTTTACTACTTCTCCGCCGCCTCTACACCTACTTTTCTACACCTACTTCTTTACGGCTTGGCATTACTGCTTTCTCTGCTTTTTTAGTCCTGGCGGCTTAGGTAGGTAGTTTTTCCGACATCATCTTCACTTCGTCATCCCGAGGTCACGGTCTTCACGGACGCCTTTCGGTCAGTTCTACGTCTGGTACACTCTTGCCCTGGCAGCAGCTTCACTCGTTTGTGGTTCGTCTTTCCCTCCCTTCCTCTCCTTATCTGTATACACACGCTATCTCTCTGTCTCTCTCTCTCTCTCCATCTTCTGGCGCTAGCCCCACGAGCTTTGCTCACGATACGATCCCTCCACACGCCAACCCAAGCCAACTGCACTCCGTGCCTCGCAGACACGCTCTCAGCTGCCGCGTCCTTGGCCCAGGTCCCCGGGGCCGCCGGTCAGGGAATGTCCAGCGGCTTCGGGGGCCCGCCGGAGGGTGGCGGCGGCGGCGGCGGCGGCAAGGACGTTTCCTCATCCGCCGCCGCCGCCGCCGCC